ACTAGGTTTGTCATCACTTGGGTTTTTGAGATATTGATTTTTAATCCCATTTGTTGAGAGGTTGCATTCAATTTTTGTAACATTTCTTGTGCTTTACACAATCGGGTATCGATTGATTTGCTGATGACATTGTCTTGTCATCAGCAAATCGCAGGTGGTTCAAGTTTTCGCGATTTATATTTATACCCAATTCATTCCCATCATTTATTATTATGTTTTCATTCAATCCCATCGATTAAAATAGCAATATTTAAAATATCTCTTCACCTGCATATTGAAAGCGTTTAAAAAAATCATGTTTTCTGTTCGGCCATCACAAATGCGCCCCCTAGCGGACATTTTTCGAACTAGTAAATAATTTCCAGCGATTTCTCTTGACCGATTTACTTATTACAATTTTTTTCCCAAAGTTATACGATAAGTAGTTTCTGAGATACAGCCGGCGTCCATTCTTAGTTAGCCACCCTGTACATATTTCTGATCGAAATAATATTAATAAAAAAGACTCCAGTCATACTCTGAAACATGAATCAACAACGTCCAAGTTAATGAACCGTCCAGACTTTTGGCCTCTAAAGTTTATATTTGTTTTCTTTTTTATTTAAGTAGGTATTGCATTTCAAACGATTGTTATGTCTAAGAATACAGCTTGTTTGCTGTTTATTTTTTGGCTGGTCCTCACTGTACATATAGAAAACTAATTAATGAAAAACTTGATAGTTTAGTATAGTTATAATTACATTGATTTACTCATCACTGAATATATCAAAACTTTTAAATAATTTTATGTAAGAAAATATATTATGATCATTAATAAAACCATTAAGCAGGTCAATATATTAATTTTGACTTTGACTTGCTCTACTTTAACTGACCATCTTAAAATTATCTTCAATTTTGCTTCATAGTGTCAGATTATAATTTTATTATAGTTGATATCTTGAAAAAATTTAATGTCCCCTAATTAAATTTCTTATATAATATTCAAATTACAGAGAAGTAAAAAAATTCCAAACGATTTTTTTATTGCTCTTATAATTAGAATATTTTATTAAACTATAAATTTAAAATGATGCTTTTGTAATTAAATTGTTACATCATAAACTTAATATGTATACATGAAAAAAAAGAAATAAAATGGGGTGTCACGCCACGTCACGCTGTCTAAAATTTACTAGCAAAGCAATTGAAAAAATATTGCAATTTAATATCCTTATCATTTTTCATTCAAGATCATACAGATATTACATTTTCTTTAATTTTGTTTAATACATCTAACAACCAGGGCCTATTTACTTACCATAAGGTCCATAAGGCCCGGGCCTTGGGCCCGGTGATCTGGGGGGCCCATTAAGGATTGTAAAATATTCATAATTTCTTCAATTTTATTGGAAAAGAGGTCCCAATTTTTTGCTTGGGCCTTAGGGCCCGACCAGATGAAAAATAGACCCTGCTAACAACAGTTTTTTTTTTCTGTCTAGACATTTCAGTTGATTAAAAAGATTCCGACCGCAGCGCTCGATCGGCAGAAATCAAAAGTTTGCACTCTGTATTTCACGCCGGCGCCGTCCCTGTTACACAGTTCATGTTGATTGCATTAAAATAACATTGAAATCGTGGCTTTGTTATAGTACCTGTAAGTATTTTAGCTTTTAATAGTGCAGTTATCTATACTAATATATAAAATCCTTAAGTGCTCAAACCACGCAACGGTAGAGGGTGTAGAGGTTCGATAAGAAGGGATTTTTCGAAATTCCAGTTCCAATGGAGGTGAAACCGCCCCTCAAATATTACAATATTTTTTATTTAAAAAACGGTCAAGTTTCCGAAAAAACGCTTAAACACGTATATTTTATTTTGTTTTTTACATATTTTAAGATTTTTTAAAAATGTATACAGGGTGTTTCGAAAAATTTGGTCATTGATTAATCACGATCCTGCTTAAAGCGCTTGACCTAATAGGATTGGATTGACTTTAGGGTGTAGAGGTTCGATAAGAATGGATTTTTCGAAACTGGGATTCTAAGGGGGTGAAACCACCCCTGAAATATTAGAATATTTTCTATTTAAAAACCGGTGAGTTTTTCGGAAAAACTCTTAAACACGTATATTTTATTTTGTTGTTTTACATATTTTAAGATTTTTTTAAAAATTTTACAGGGTGTTTCATAAAATATGACCATTGAGTAATCACGATTCTGCTCAAACTGCTTGACGTTTAAAACTGATTTTTGGCAAACGGATTGACTGTGGGGTGTAGAGGTTCGATAAGGAGGGGTTTCTCGAATCTCAAATTCCAAGAGGGTGAAAACGCCCCTCAAATATTACAATATTTGTTATTTAAAAACGGTTAGTCTTTCGGGAAAACGCTTGGACAAGCATAACTTATTTTGTTTTTCATATATTTTGATTTTTTTAAAAAAAAATCGTACAGAGTGTTCCAGAAAGTTGGGTAATTGATTAACCACGATTCTGCTTAAACTGCTTGACGTAAAAAGCTTATATTTGACAAACGGATTTTTCGAAAGTCAAATTCCAACGAGCTGAAACTACCCCTCAAATATTATTAAGTTATATAATAATATCGCCATATTGTTTTTTCTCATGCTGACATAAATGTGAGAAAATTTTATCCAGTTTGTATGTTAATGGAAATTCTTGCTTTGCTTTATCATCACCATTACAAATGATTAATTCGACGCCAAGTCGCGGGTACACGCTAGTTAAAACTATAAAACACTCAGGTACGAGGTTTGTACGATGTAACGCTGTTTCGGGTAGTAAAATTAAGTGAAAAAGAGCCCCAACTATAAGCGTTATCTTGTGTTTCAAATGTTAATAAAATCGGCGAAAAAATGTTAATGCATAAAAGAGGGCGTAATTAGGGCGTTGTTCGGTGCAATAACATTCAATAACTCAATTTTCTCAGATATTCAACTCTTCCAAAACAACATTTTATAGCTTCATAGTTTCTCACACCGATTTGGTCAAAAGGAAAAATGGACACAGTGCGACGAAACAAGTGAGTTTCATGACAATCAAAAAATTAAATAAACTCTACTATAAGAGGATAAAATATAATTTTTTATCAACTAGTACTTTAATTTTTGATGAATATCTTCTAAAATTATAATAACCTTCAATACTTTTACCCCTCATACCTTCAACCTTCAAAATTCAAATGTCCCTACTAGCAAAACCGGTGCATAAAACTATGCTCGTTACCGTAATTATAACTCATCTAAAAAGTTTTTTAGCTGGAATATAATAAATTACAATACAAGTTAGACCTTCTGAACATATCCAAATATTTACTTTTTTAGAATTTTCACATATTATACTTCCTAATATTTTTAGAATAATTATATAAACTTTATTTAACATCCCCAAAAAGCATTTAACAATTTCATTAGAGGCCAGTGTTAAACCTAGGCATTCTATAAAGTGCGTTTGTTTTTAATCTAATACATGACACATAGAACTACAAAATGAAAATAAATTTAATTAATCTTAATAAATTTGACTAGATATTTCTGGGTTAACTAAGATGTAATTGTTTTCATTAAATGATATGTCAAAAATTCCAATCAATAATTTCTAATATAATTTATACGAGGAGCGATTATCTTAATAATTGAATGTTTTTTTGACCTTTGAATTCTGAAGACATTAACAAATTATGTTTACTGATTTTTACTGCTGCACACTCTTTTTTTTGAATGAGTGGGGGTTAAAGGTGATAAACTAATATCGCAAATGCAAACGATTTGATTAGTAATCGTTCAAAAAACAATTTAACATCAATAATTGTTAAAAATTAAAATAACACATACACATTCCAAATTTATAAAAAAAAGTGTCAATGCATCGAAAATAAACATCCAGATATTGTGTTTCCGCGATTTGTTTTGTAAATGGGTTATTTCCAGGATTTGTGGAAAGTTGGTAACAATTAGTGTTGAGCAAATAATTAACGACATTAAATGTAGCTGTGATAATATGTTCGGTTTAAAATATTATTAATAGTCGCGTGTAAAAATAATTCGTTATGAAAAATAATAAATAATTTAAACCTGCAATAACAAAATTGACAGGAAACAAAATTTCTTGGTAATTTCTAATTGGTAATATTTTATTTTATACACAGGGATGAGACTTGAATATATTAACAAATACAGCAATGTGCGACAGATTTTTTACTAATTTATTAATAATTATTATCAATCTTCAGTTATTTTTCTATTATTAGCCGACCATACCAACAGGTATGGTAGGCTATTAAGATTTTTTAATCTCACTCAAAATGAGTTATTTGGGCCATAAATGTTCATATATTATATTCATGTGGTCATAATAATAATATTTTCATGGTGTCTATCTGTCTGTCCGTCTGTCCGTCTGTACGTATGTAGGTCTGTCCGTCTGTAACACGATAACTCAAAAACCACTAAACCGATTTTAACCAAATTTGGCACAAAAATACTGTGGCACCCGGGAATCTGGCCATTAGTTTTTGGTGGGGGTTGGGGAATTGGTAAGGGGGTATGGGAGGGGGTTAAAAATTTTAAAAAATCGTAACTCCAAAATTACAGTAGCTCGTGAAACGCGGTTTTCAATTTAAGATTAGGAATAATATTAGCAACAAAATTTGTAATAACATCAAAATCAGTCAAAGTCGCAGTTTTTGAGATAAAAAAAGTTGGAAAAATTCCTTTACTTTGAAACTAAAAGAACTGCCTACCAACTTTTCATTAACATTTTTTTTCTATTATCAATTTTGTAACAAGTCCTTCCAGATTATATTTTTGAATGCTCGTTTTTAAGAGTAATTCGTATAAAAATATTTACATTGGCGACACCTAATTCCTAATATCCAAAATTGAAGTAACTTAAGACTAAAAATAACTATATTATTATTATTAAATTAATACAGAATATAGATTAACTGTCATATCACAGGCTAACTAACAAAAATAATAAAGAAAACTGTCAAAACTTACGCAAGTCAATTTTACAGCTCCTCGTACTCGAAGATATTCCCAATATCTGAGGAAAGAAAAAAATCATTAGTATTTTACATCAAATAGTCCTTCAAAATTGTAAAATTCTTTTAAATTGGAAGCTATACCAAAAACTAATCACTAAAAACTAAATACTGGGTGACCCAATAGTCCGTGGGAGTCCAATATCGTTGTAGTCGAACATATAATATAAAAGTTTTATATAAAGGGCGCATTGTTTGTATCTAGGGTGTCCCAAAAAAGGAATGAAAAAGTTGTAAATGTTTAAACTACAATCCCTATTTTTCTGTGCAGATCTAGTATAAACTTCTGATTTTTATTTGAAGTACTGTGCAGTTTTGCCAGGCTATTTCTTATTTACTAATAAAAGGCAAACAATCTTTAGATGGCATTTTTTCAACAAAAATTTAGCTATTTGTTATTTGAAAAACGGTTAAGAGAAAATATGTTTCTTTTATCGAAATCTACAACCCCTGAATATATTGGAACTTATTTAAGACTCACCCTGTATATATTTTTTTATTTGAGACTGACAAGTATATTATCATTTTGGTTAATGTTTTATAAGTAAATAACTTTTTAGAAAAACGCCAAATTCAAAATAATTTTATATGAAAAATATCTATCATTTTCTAAATAGCTATCACCACCAATATTATAAATTTTGGCGCTTACTCATTTACACCCTGTAAATAATATTAAATATTAACCAAAAAAGTAATTCATTAGTTACAGAGTAAAATAAGGTAATGGTGCACCTGGTTCTATCATTTTCAATCTAGAAAAAAATATAATCAAAACATAAAATTCATAGAATTATTAACAAAAAAAACCTACCGCTATCCCACAATGAATAAACTACTCAATTAGAAGCACTATTAATTGAAAGCCACGGACCTTATAAATAACGTAAACAAGAGTAACGTGGATTCCAGTTCTAACTTTATTTCTAATTTTAGCCAGGGATCCACTTGCCAATAAATGTCACCTAATGAGATTGGTATTTGATATTAATCACTGGTCGATTCGATTGATGAAAGGTAGGATAATTATTTTTAGGATACGCAATTTCTCTTTGTTTCTCGGTAACAAAGACTTTGGAATACCGTTTAATTGCATCTGGTAATTAGATAACGGAACTACTTTAGATACACATATGTTGTCTTGCTAATTTAGTCATAATAATAGTAATTATAGAACAAGTTACGTCAGTGGAGAATCTAATTTTAAAGTACTACATAAATAGATAGTATTAAGAGTAATGTCGTCGGCTTTATGACGAAAAGGCGTATCTCGATTTTTGCTACTTTTCAGGAGAGCAATTTAAAGAAAATCTCTTACTTTATTTGGCCAATAAATGTAAAGTCTTTAATTTTTTAATAGTGTTTTTGTATTAACACTTAAACGGAGACATTGAGGAAATGCTCTGAAGATAAATTAAGCGTAAATTCTAATAAATAATTTATTTTTAGTTGTTTAATAGAGATAGGCCTTTTTGTTATGATAATATTAAATTTATTTCCGAACGAATATTATACATCCCATGTAAAATAAATTTAAAAATGACGGTAAAGTGTCCTTAATAAGAAAAAAAAATACAATATTCACATTATGGAATACTTACAAGAAAATACAATACATACATACAAGAAAAAATCTGAAAATCACCAAAAAATCAGAAACAAATAATTTTAAATACTTTTATTCGCGTTGGATTAGATCAACTGAAAACAAAGACAATTTTCATTCCAGAAACAAAGACAATAATCAATTAAAATACTCTAATCTAGCTTATTTTAATAATATTGTTTTTTTATACAAAAATGCATTTTTTAACTAATATACTTTTCCAAATAAAAACACTAAATCACCACAATACACCAAAGGTTCCAACACCAAAGTGTAACACCAAAGGTTCCAACCCTCAACTGTAATAATATATTTTTAGTAATTATTTACTTAATTGAGGGCATTAATAGAGGGCATTTAAACTCACGGTCCATTTAATAAAAACCAAACTAAACAAAAACAAAACATGTTTCTTCATTCGTTTTTTTATACAAATAACTGTGGAGTAACAGTTTCTGTTTTCCCTGTTCAATGATAACAAATTCGACTTCCATTCTACGTGTTTATACTGGATGATGATAGGCACAATACATAAAATTTTTCAAAAATTAGCAGGGATGACAATGCCAATCGCCTGACAATTATAATGAGACAAAATTATCTTATATATTATTGTATTTTTCGGGCAAGTTTTTGGTTCGCTAAAATGTTCTTAGAGAAATTATGATTTCGGGAAATTTTCCATGAGGGCAATTTTAGTTTCGTTGTTTTGCTTTCGATCAAAATTTTCCTTTTATTCGGTCCTTTATTCTCGGACAATCTTTTGCATACCCGATACAGCTATGTGCAGAGTCTAGCTCATTCTAAGAATAGTTTTTGGCAAAAAACAGACTCTAAAATCACAATGTAAAAGAGAGCTGCTGTCATGATAGAAGTTTTATTTTGTCCCAAGCAACCGTCAGAAAATAATTAGGTAGAATGGTGTGATTTTCTCTCGTATGCATTTTCATAACTTAAAATAAAAGGACCTATCTCAAATTCCATTTTTCTTGTAGTATAACAATTGGTATAACAATAATTGACATAACAAAGAGCCCTATCTAACATACGTCTCTTCGTCATAACGAAGAATTGTAATATTTGAGATGGAGCAAATTTTTAAACGAATATAAAATGAAAAAGGTACAATATTGAGATGCGAAAATTCGCTATGTTAAAATATGATCCATTGGGCATGTCATGACGTTGGTATCTCATAATCGCCAAAAATCGAAATACGCCTTTTCGTCATAAAGCCGACGATGTAATAATATATCTGTTATAATATTGATATAGAAATTTTTGATAGTGTTCATCAAGACAGTGTTTTGTACAGGGTCCGGCAATAGTGCGTCGGGCATCTGTACCTCCTAGAATAAAAAACTTGGAAATTATGTTTAAGTGCAAATCTAAAGTATGTACAAGGATGTATTTCAGGAAAATATTTTAACTTCTATAGGGTGGCTCAAAAAAGTGTGAGTGGATCTGGATGATTTTTTTTAAATGGAACACCCTATATATTTTGGCATTTTTGGTTTCCTTTCACACCACTTTACATATTCCTAAGATATGAGTAAATATATTTCGATAGTTTCAGAGATATTAATAAATAAATCAAAAATATGTATTTTTCAGCACTTCTTAAAAAAATATTTAAAATACAAGAACTATTCGAAAATCGAAACTGTATTAGGTATTTACTTTAGACGGTCTGTTCTTACTTTGCTATAAATATGGTAATCGTAAATCATACAGGAGGTTCAAAATCCTACACCAAACTTTCTAAAATATAAAATAATTTTTCTTTGTTTTTTAAATAGAACACCCTGTATATTTTTATTAGATGCAGAGTTATAAAATCAACAACTTTTGTATTTAAAGTATTTCAAAATTTTTAATAGTTTCGCAGATACACGCAGTATTATTTAATTATTTCACATGGCGCTTTCAATAGTAAAATACGAGAGACAAATCATTGGGTAGCTTTGATAAAAAATTACTGTGGAAAATGCCATATGAAATATAAAATTGCGAATATCTGCGAAACGTGTTATAATATAGTAACGAATAACAGATATTAACGAAATGTTCATTTTTAAAATCTCCATCTATTTTAAAAATAATATACAGGGTGTACCATTTAAAAAAAAACAAGAAAAAATATATTTGTTATTTTGGAAAGTTTTTTCGTAAAATTTCGAACATCCTGTATGATTTACGATTTCCATATTTATAGCAAAGGAAGTACAGACCATCTAAATTAAATACCTAATATAGTTTTGATTTCAGGACAATTCTTGTATTTTTAATAATTCTATTAAGAAAGGCTAAAAAATATATTTTTTTTATTTATTTTTTAATATCTCTGAAATTATCAAAATATATTTACTCATATTTTAGGATTACGTAAAAGTGATCTGAAGGGCAGCCGAAAATGCAATAATACACAGGGTGTTCCATTTAAAAAAAATCATCCCTATCCACTCACTTTTTTGAGCCACCCTATAGAAGTTAAAATATTTTCCTGAAACACATCCTTGTACATACTTTAGGTCTGCACTTAGACAAAATTCCCAAGTTTTTTATTCTAGGAGCTTCAAATGTCCGACGCACTATTGCCGGACCCTGTATATTTCCCTGCAATATCATTTACATTTTATATTAATGAGTAAGTTTAATTTTCTTTCTCCTTCATAGTTGTTAGCCAGATATATCAATAACAAAAACAAGTACACAGCTCATCCTGTTTATGAAATATCCAAACTCATTTGAGATAATGCTGAAATAAATGTAGTGGAAATTTTTAAACAATTTGTTCGCTAATAATAACAAGGATTTTCATTCATTAAAAATTGTCGTTAAATTATTGATGATAATGTTGCATCACATTGAATTGTTGTGATATTAGTCTCAACAAAGTTTCAAATTAATCTATTAATTTATGAATTCATAAAAATTAACTGTTTAAAAAGATTTTTTACTTTAGAAAATAATTAATTTTTTTGAAAATATTCTTTATACTACAGATAGTGGCCGGCCGTGGTTCAACAGCAAGTGTGTCTGACCTCTGACCCGAAAGTACCAGGTTCGGTCCCCAGCTGGTACAGTCGCTTTATTAATTTAAATAAAAATATGTGTTTATCTAAATAGAACATCCATCGAGTCGCTATCTAAAGGAAGGCAATCGCAAGTACACCTTGAGTATACACATAGCCAAAATTATTGCATATAACGATATTTTTACTTTATTTTGGACCTAATATGATTCTTTTTATATTTTTGGACATATTGGTTTACTACACGACTAACTAATATAAAATTAAAAATCTAAGTGCAACTAGGCTGTTATTATTAATTTCATTTCATAATGAGTGAAAATCAACAAAAACAAATTTCATTTTAAAGAGAAAATATTGA